TCCCAGGAGCTGCATACAGGCCCTGCTCCCAGAGCCTGCTTCCCCGTTATGGTGAACCAGACTGATTGGAGCTCCTTTTTGAGCAGGTATTCTGGTCAAAAATCAAATGCCGGGAAACTCTTCTTTGCAGGCCTGGGGACTTAAGGATTATGTGTGTTTCTAACAAAAAGGGCTTCTCTGCTGCAGCCACTAGTAAAGATTTTCAATAGTCATGAAGAAGTTTTTCTGTGTGTTAACTTGCTATTTGTTTTGCTTAATTTTTTGTTTTCCTACAAGATATCCCCAAGTTTTAATTGTCAAAACACCGTGGTGGTAACAAATCACTTTCATTTTATCATATTTAGAATAATAGAACTAGAACTGGAAGGGACCTCGAGAGGTCATCAAGACCAGTCCTCTACCCTCATGGCAGGACTCAGTATCATCCCTATACCATCCCTGATAGAGGTCTATCTAACCTGCTCTTAAATATCTCCAGAGATGGAGATTCCATAACCTCCCTAGGCAACTTATTTCAGTGTTTAACCATCCTGACAGTTAAGGAGTTTTTCCTAATGTCCAGCCTAAACTCCCTTGCTGCAGTTTAAGCCCACTGCTTCTTGGCCTAACCTCAGAGGCCAAGGAGAACAATGTTTCTCCCTCATCCTTGTCACAGCCTTTTAGGTACCTGAAAACTGCTATCATGTCCCCTTTTAGTTTTCTCCTTTTCATACTAAAAAGTCCAGTTCTTTCAGTCTTCCTTCACGGTCATGTTCTCTAAAACTTTAATAATTCTTTTTACTCTTTTCTGGACCTTCTCTAATTTCTCCTCATCTTTCTTGAAATGAGGTGTCTAGAACTGGACACCGTACTCCAATTGAGGCCTAATCAGCACAGAGTAGAATGGAAGAATGACTTCTCGTGTCTTGCTCACAACACTCCTGTTAATGCATCCCAAAAACAGCATCACACTGTTGACTCATATTTAGCTTGTGGTCCACTATGACCCCTAGATCTCTTTCTGTGGTACTCCTTCCTAGACAATCGCTCCCATTCTGCATGTGTGAAACTGATTGTTCTGTCGTAAGTGGAGTACTTTGCATTTGCATTATTAAACTTCATACTATTTACTTCAGACCATTTCTTCAGTTTGTCTAAATCATTTTGAATTATGACCCTATCCTCCAAAGCAGTTTCAACCCCTCCCAGCTTCGTCTCATCTGCAAACTTAATAAGCGTACTCTCTATGCCAATATCTATTTTGACTTCACTAAATCATAATGTTACTTTCTTCATTTATCTCATTCCATCTTTAGCTTCTAACCTATTTTTATATAAAGGTCTTTTTATGTGATGTCACAATATAGGAAGCTTTATCTGATCAAACACCACAATATGTAGTTTCTGCATAGCAGGTATGACTGGTTAAGCAAGAGGATGCTACAATAGTTCCAGTGTTACAACGTTCATACCAGAATACAAGTTTTTCCCCCCATTCAGAACAAACCCCAAAAAGTTAAACTGAGAAGAAAGGAGATTATGTTTAAATCCAATATATTGCATCAGCAATAAAGAGAAAATTAAGAATTATTTTGGAAGTGCAGAAATAATGTATGAGTTACTGATTTCTCCCTTACATCTGGTGTATATCCATTGTATTTAGAAAAGTAACAATTATTATTAAGCCTTAACTGATATGCTTAACCAACACTATGATAAAAGAAAAACTTAATCCGGAGGTATCAGAAGGGGGTGAGGGAAAGGAATCAAATGAACATGGTACTTTTTACGGCCTGACAACAGAACACTGTGCATCCATGCAGACACATGTCCCCAAGTGTTCAGTAAAACTAGAACACACACAATAAGGTGATGTGCTTTCCTTCATCCAAGATTTAGCAACCCTCCCTCCCCAACACACTTAGATGGAGAGCTGGGCAGGAAATGGGTTCCCCATCAAATACATATTTTCAAGATTGCAAAAGTTTTCCTGTACACATTATGATGAAAGGAGACCTTTCAAAGTTTTTCCCCAAGAAGCAAGAGTGAGAGACATACCCACTCCAAAACCACCAAAAAAGCCTGATGCTAGGGCACCCAACTAGGACATGGAAGACCCAAGTTCAAGTCCTTCCTCTCAATCAGGCCCCCAATCTCTGGTTATATTAAAGGGAAGGATGTTCTTGACGTCAAGATGTGGAAGTGAGACACAGAGGATGCAGCATCTATTCCAGGCTCGGACAGAGATTGCTGGGAGAAATCACTCAGGGTAGGTTTGTTTACCTTAGGAATTTTCTTTACTCTTCTCCTGCTCATCTAGCGCTAGCACATCTCCCTTCCAGTGGTACATCTGTAAGGTACCGGTGACAGCAGATACAGGAGTTTCTATCACTGTACCTTGTCCACACACCAACCCTTCCACTAGCGGAGCTATGCCAAAACGGTGGCCGAGGATCTAACTCAGCTCCTCACCTGCAAACGGTGGCTACTACTTGCCCCACCTTGCAGGTGTGGCATGGGGAACACTCTGTATGTCTGGAGCGGCGAAGGGCACTGATGAGCACCACAGAAAACCCTATAACGAGATGGTCACACAGAAGCACCGCTCTGATGGTAGCCACGGTGTGAGAGAGGTGCGGGAGGAGGGGGAGGAAGCGATCCAAGCCCCCCGGTCTGCTGACTGACTTCACACTCTTCTCTGAGCCCTGACCTCCTCCCCCAGCTTCACCCGCGCCCCGCGGGCAGCCACGCGGCGCACTGAGCCCGGCTCTGATTTGGCCTGAGTCTCCGGGCGTAGCTCCAGGGCCGCTCTGATTGGCTGCCGGAGCCCCATC